GATCAAACTGAAAAAGATCCCAAAATAGTAAAAATGGACATGTATTTTATACGTAACTTTTTCCTTACTATTATTTGATAAGATAACCTTCTTTATGTTATTTTGTTATCATCAAATAGGGGGAGATTGTTGATCATCTCTCTCAGTGATTTGATGATAATCTATTTTCTCTTTCACGTTGTATTTGTGTTTCTGTATTTTCAGTTCCAGCGATCTTCACTGAGTATGTTCAGTAATCGCTGAAGAACTTGCATTGTAAATCTATCAGAGACAGCAATACTTTAAGAATACAACACTCACACCAAAGAACCTTCAGCAAACGTCGAAGACTGAAACTGAAGATTAGAGACCGACGAGTACGTGATCTGAAGTGGTATTCAGTGATTACAAGTCTGTCTATACATGTGTGAAGAGTGCTCAAGCTTCAGCGAATGATGATGAGACCTTCAGGTCATTCCAGCATTCAGCGATCAAATGAAGCTTGCTTAGTACTATTGTTGTTGTATTGTCCTTATGCACACAAAGAACAAAACCCATACCCTTACAAAAGTTAGTACGGTACGGAGCCGGCTAGTCGACTCTTTATCCACCAACTTTAGGTAAGGATGTCTGCTCAGAAATAGTGCTTCTGTACTATTCACTGTAGCAAAGGACAAGCCTTCCTCTTAAGGCTTGACACGCACTCTAAACCTACCATATTGCATTAAATGGACATTTAATGCACTGGGTATAAATAGAAGTGTTTCTTCTCCATGCAGAGAGCACACATCTCTCTCTAGCCTAATTCTTACTTCAAGCATCTTCTAGCTTAAGTAAATGATCTTTCTCTTAACAACTTCTTTTCTTGTAATTGCTAAAGCTTTGTGTGTAACCAAAGATTGTTTAGATAGGTTTTTATTACCTTATCTTTCCGCAAACAATCTTGTAAAATCTGTATTGATCTTCTCTATCAATATATATTTTAAATTTGAAAATATTGTGTTTGTATTCATCCCCCTCTTCTACAAACTGTTTCTCTTCTTGTAGACCCTTACAGGACCAACAATGTCAATATCAACAAGCATTAAGTAGAGTTTTATTTCTTTGACGAAAGTTGATTGTCCATTTGCCCTTGCTCCTATCTCCAATCTGTTTTTGTATGCTTATACAATTTTTGTAAATTCCTTCAATAGCTGATTTCTCTATTACATATACATTGGGGTTGCTTTGTATTTGAGTAGCCGGCTTTGAGTAGCCGGCATGATCAAATACATTCTAATCTTTATTTTCTTATTTAGATTTTATGCAACACTAACTTTTAAATGATATTACATATTTGGACATGAGGTGCTTAGTTTTAAGGTATTGCTAATGTTGCTCTTTATGCCTCCTGTTTTGGGTCTTTTCTAKGCTTTGTGTTTTTAGCATAAACTGGTCTTTTGTTATAAAAACCGATGAAATAGAATTAAAGTTGGAACTTTGTGTGTGGAGGGGGGGTTTCTGGTGTTAGTTTAAATTGTATTGTTGATCACTTTGGGGTTCTTTGTGTTTTCATGTAAATACGACTTTTTGTTAGAAGGGGATATAAGCATAATGATATTTATGTTTCGTAGATTAGTTTACGTATTAGATTGGTTGGCAATTTCAGGTAAAATTTGGATCTTTGTGGAGTTTGTTTAAATTGGTTTGTTACGTGAAAACAGAGATGCAAACATATTGTTCGTCACTTATTGGAGACAAAAATGGGACGATGGYAAATTTTACAAAGGTGGCGCAGGTGTTCCTTCATCTTTATCTAGCTTTTACAAACTGTTTCATTCATCTTTTTCTAGCTTTCCATCTTGGTTTCATTTCTTCTTTTTCCATATAGTGGATAGATCTTTATTTTCATCTGGTGTTTAATCACTCATAAATTTTTGAAAAAGGTTTAGGCTTGAATCATATACATGATAGTTCAAGTATTGAGGTTTAAGTTTTGTTTTTTATACTTTGATTAAGATGCACAATCAGTGATTTTAGTTATTGGAGTTTCAAATCGAATATGTTTGGATGATGCTTATTCTTTGAATCTGGCATGCTTGCATTTTCAGGATGCCACAATGGTGGTGGAGAGATGCAAAAGAACAAAACCACGTAAAATATAGGAAATGTGGAGCACTTAGGAGTAAGCACTTCCTTCTCTTTCCCACATGTGCGTGCCAAAAAAATTACTTTTGTTGGTTTATCTCATTATTTTTTTCCGGACATTATATATAAGCTTCCAGTTTTTGTACAAAATAGTTTCCCTACACAAGGATAAGCTTGCCTCTTTTAGTTGAACTTAAAAGTGTATTAACCTCACAATAGTTTGTATGTGCTGTGACGTGATGCAAATTTATATCTCAGTCCCTGAATTTGCTGCTCAAAACTTTTATTAGACCTCATGGTTCAACATATGTCTTTAACAATTTAAAAAGTTTTCATTTATTTGTTTGTCTTTATCTAATACTAAAGATTCATTATTGTTTGGATTATAGTTTGCTTATATCTTGTCTTTGCCACTCTGACAGTTTCTTATATCATGTCTTTGGTTTATGGTTTGCTTCTTTGGTTATACTACTTGCCCCTCATACATGAAGTTGATCTGCAGGATGAGTATGTTTCAAACATGGCTAAAGCTCTTATATTATTGATATTTATTAGTAACTAGCAGATCATTGGTTTTAGTTGGCGTCCATCTTATAGTTTTCTGAATGACTATTAAAAATGTTATTTATTTTCTGCAGCCATTTTGTCCCAAATCTAATGAGAGTTTGAGAAAGCACACCAAGTAAATCCTTTGTTTTTATTCCAACTTTCACCCTTAGCTTCGTGGTTGATTCATGAAGGAGTAGCTTATACCTTCCTCTCATGCAGGCATATCTGGATTATCCTTATGGTAACATATGAAAGGGTGTTTGATTGGAGGATTGCAGGTAGATGGAGGTTTAGGGCCTTCTACCATTAAAACACAACTGCTGTAGGTGCAAATTGCATTGTTGCTGGGAGTTCAGTGTTTGGAGATGCAGAACAAGTGTGAATGAAGCCCAAAAACATTTATTAATTGAGCATATACAAGATATAAAGTTTCCCAATGTGATGTACAATTTGATACTGCGAACATGATAAATTTGGGAATTGCTATTCTGATTCGCTTTCTTACATTGTACAATTGTAGAGCTAGCTTTGTTAGATGTATTGACAAAATTGAGGTGGACTACTAAACTACTTGGATTTACATTGACTTTTGTAAAATACTGTGCTATTTTGTTGTTTGGGGGTTATAAGGATGATCTAAATAGTATGCCTCTTGTAAAGAAATTGGTTGTCATCATAGTAGTTTAAGACAACAAAATTAAATGGAGAAAGCTACTGTTTTGGAAGTCTGTTGATAATTGTGTGATTGGGAAGGCTGGCTGCTGGTACCTAACTTTTGGAACCATACTGGATTCATAAGCTCTATTATGGATTCCTGTTTTATTTGTAATCTGATTTGGTATAGAGTTTTTGGTGATCAATTGATGCAGCTCACCAGCTATTCCTATGCTACATCCATAAGGGATTTTTTTACTCTAATTGAATGGAGAATGAAATTACAATATTATGGTCCATGAAAAGAAAACAATTTTAATGTTGTTTTGGATTCAAATTGGCAAATGGGAGATTGGTATTGTTTCTTATGTGAACAACTGATGCAGCCAACCAGCTACCCTATGCTGCATCATCAAGGAAAGTCTCAAATTGCAAAGGGTCTGCATATAAAAATGGATTTCCACCAGCGATGGACATTGATAAAAGATGAAGTTTGGAATCCTAATGCTTGGATTCCAATTAATAGTAATAGACTTTGGAAAAGCTATCAATCTTATTGCTTGGCTGAGTTTGTATCGACCGTCTATCATCTTTTGATGCCATGTGTTTGAAACAGTCATGTCCACCATCGAAAGAACCCAAGTTCGTCGCTTTCTTCAAGGGTATGGCTGGATTTCCATTCAATCGGGTTGCTTGTTTGAATCCATGGTTGGCGATGGCTATTGGGTTGAAACCCTAGGTGCGATTTTGATTAAAATTATTGGGATGGATTATGGGGAAACTAAAATTGAACAAGTCGAGATGATTGTGAAGCGAAATCGATCAGGAACCAGTGTTGGATGGAGGGAAAATCATCGACCTGATCAATGTTCTTCACAATGGGATATCAAAGGGAAGGCTACTGTTCGTACCATGTTCATTGACCTCAAAGTTATAATCTGGTGGAAAAGAATGAGAATTGATGGGTCATACAATATGGATCTACATCTGGGCCAAAAATGGTGTTTCGATTTGATTAAGAGGTATTGGGCCCATAATCTATTATGGTGGACTCCTAAAGATTTAATCTCCTGGGCCTATTATTATTATTATTATTATTATTATTATTATTATTACTACTACTACTACTATTAGAAGGGTACTCGCACAATGCAGCGAGATACATCTTAATCTTAATATTTCATTTTTTTTTTATCTCAATCGATGTTATAATATAGTCTTATGTGATTTTGAAAAAAACGATGATGTTTTTATTTTTGAATAAAATCGAACACATTTGTGGAGTCGTTTAAATATATTGAGTTTTAAATATATTGGATTTAAACTGTCATACAATTTTTTTCATAGATAGACTGTAATTGGAACCATAACTCTTATTTATTCAAATTGTATTAATATATAAAGACCAAGTGTAACTTATATTATCGTTAAATCTTCTATAATAAAACCAGTAAAACTTTAAAATCGTTAAAATTTACGGCTCTCGCCGCATTACACGGATACATAACTAATATACATAGTATACAAGTTACTAATACACTGATTTTTCAACGCAACAAAAAATGGGCGCTTGGACTCCCTTTTCTTCTGTAACAGTCTCTAGAAAACCCATTTGATATAAAGCTTTCTTTTTTTTTTCTTTCTCCTTCCTATTCTAGCTTCTACCAACAAAATGAGCGGGACGATTTTTCTCATTCTACCCTAAGATTTCAGATTTTAAATTTTGAAATCTGCCGCTCCAAATAGGATTTTGGTACGTTGAGGGTTTTCTTTTTGACATTGCAGAGTTTTCTTTCCCATCATCGTATTGGCTATTCCAGTTCAATATCATATTATTCCCAATAAACAATCAAATTTTCAAAATTCAAATTGAGAATTGGGAATCCTGCTCCCAAATTTGCTTCATCTCCATCTTGATCGTTTTGAGAAACTAGGGATTCCATTCACTGATTATGTAAGTAATTTTATGTACGATTTGGGGTTTCTGTTATAATTTGTGTGCTTGATGTTAACAACATCATAGAAATGCTTATATTTGTTATTGATGTTTAACATCACAAAATTCTTAAATTTGTGTTTGATATCAACAATTTCAGAACATGCCTACTACATGTTTGTTGAAATGCTCAAGAGAAATTCGTTACTACAAAGTGTAGTTCACATGTGCATTTTTGGGTCTACCTTTTGCTATGTTACTATATTAATGATCATGTTTTTTTAATGTGCTTTGTTTGGAGAAACAAACACCCTTAATAATCTGTTCTTATTCGATTTATTTTATTAAGGTAATGGAAATTTTTTGTGTTCCGTTGATGTACAATTTAATCTCTATGGCTCCCAGTTGGTTAAGAATATATGAACAAAAACACCATAATGGTACGTAGTTACCCTCCTGGCCTATGATCGATTCTCATTCTTCCTTCTTTCATCATGTGTTTTTAATTGCTTAAACTTAAATTGCAAATCAGCTTGTTGGATTAGCCTGGTTTTCCACATGAATCATTGACCCAATCGAGGTAATGAGCCTGATCTAGCAAAGTATTTCATGTCTTCATTTTTCAAATGGTTATACTTGGTTGATTGCATACATATCATAGCACTTTGTTTTCATTGAATACATTTTATAAAACACGTCATATATTGACTCAAACCAAACAAGTGGTCATTGCATACTAACCAAAAACAAATCCTACATTTCAACTATTTGTCCATAATCTTTCATACTGTAATGTCTTTTTGGCATTTTTGCAAGAATAACCATGGCAAGTCTTTGTGAGATAACTCACCAATGTTTGCGTTATTCAAGCCAACATTCTTACTTCCAACCATAACGTAAGCCCATACAGAGGATATGTGATTAAATACCCAGTAGTCCTAGCCGTAAAACGATGGATACTAGGTGCCGATTTTTCCCATTATTTTCAAATCCATAGTAGTGCGAAAACGAAAAGGTCCCAGAAATCATACATTGTTTTTTACGAAAAGACAATTACTATGGTCCAAAAAGTTGATCCCTCAAAGTTTTCTGTATATTGCTGATGATTTTGGCCTTCTCTCTTGCAGGTGCTGGGTGAATTGGCATTCCGTTATGGGATCTTTTTGCATGTAGACCTTTGTCTTTGTGGTTTTGTGCTGCCTTTTGCATGTAAACTCGGGTACAATTGGCTTTCCTTTCCTTTCATGACTAATGTTGCTTGCATGCTCGAAGTTGTATTTGTATGCCACCGCGCACCATCCCAAATCTAATAATTGTATTATCGTCATTATAATTGCAGGTACCATGTTCCACCATTTGATTTTTCTGTCCAAGGAGTGACCTCTATATCGGCAGATGTGCATAAGTATCGGTTGGCGCCCAAAGGGACACGTATAGTTTTATATAGAAACCATAATATTCAGAAGGTAATGAGTCTACTATTTGTGGTTTGTGTGCTCATTAGTCAAAACCAACATTCGTTGGTTTGTTTGTTTCATTTCAAATTCCAATCTCGTGTAAAAGTAAACTAGAAAAGAAGTTTGCATGAACTTGCCAAAATAACAACACTTTAACATGTTTAAAAACTTCTCATAACATAGGTGATATTTCCCAAAGTTTTAGCTTCCTTTATATTGACTGGTTAGATAGAAACGACCTGCAAAAAAAGCATTTATACAGGCTCCTTGAAAATACTTTAAAAGGCAAAGGAGTTACTAAAGATGTCATTTATACAACATTTATAAAAGTGTTAGTTGAGGTTTTGAAATACCGATGTTTAACAAACGCTTACCGGGTAATCATTGACTTTATCGGGTGAACATGGTACTCGGTAACGTTTGTCAAACGACTACTAAATGTTTTTCACCTAAGGAAGTATGTATCTCAAAGCAATATGCTAACTTGTTCTCTTTTCATTCTCAGAGTCTTGCATATATTTATTTGAATTTTATGTCCCACCGACCTGCACGGGTACACGACTCAATTGGAATCTCGTATTTATGCAAACTGGTTTTTCCCCATTTTATAGTCACATGTAGATATTTTGTATATTAAGTATTCTAACATGTATATCTATTCACATGGAAATTGTACTCCCTGAATTTAACTCAAATTTTGTTTCATGTGAATAATTATGAGCAGATTGACCAAGAACTGAAAAGGGAGAGGAGAAAGCAGTCTAATTGAGAATTTGCCAGAAGTTCGAGATTAAGGAAATAGGTATGACCCGATAAGCCCCATCTTATATCACCAATTTTAGTTTGAAATTGAATTAGATTTGATATTGAAAAATCCTTTGCAGCATGGGAATAGATGGTTGGCTGCCAGAATGTTAATTCATAGTAGAACCAGTCCAAGTTGAATCCATCAAGTCGCCTCCTAAAATACCAATTGAGTCCATCAAGTATCCAATATCCAACAGATGGCTTACCGGGTATCATTCACTTTACCGGGATCATGGAGATGGATTTAGTTTTGATTTGCCTAAATGCTTCTAATATATCCATCTCTAAAATATGTTCAAGTCGATAACGAAAACAAAACAAAAACATAAGATTCAAGGGTAAATAAATGAAATGCTAAACAAAAACAAAAGATTGAAGGGTAAATAAACGAACTTTTGAAGATTTGGAAACTGTTTGTATCCTGAAGAACAAAAACAGAAAACGATAAATAAATAAATAAATAAATAAATAAATAAATAAATATATATATATATATATATATATATATATATATATATATAGGAAGATGAATTCTTTCAGTGATGGCATAAAAGCTTTGAGGATCTAATATAGGAAGATGAATTCTTTTTGTGTACCATTTGCAACTATTAATATGGAATCTGTAATGTTCGCCATGAATCTGGTAATATGGTCCATGATGAAGACGATACTCTTAATTTTAATTTTAGTAATATTGAAGAGGTACCAAGTAGGGAAGCACGAGAACGTTGACTATGCACCTGACTGCCTGGTAGAAACCATCCTTGAAAGCTAGCTCAAGAGTCAATGGTAGAAGATTCCAGTTCATTTATAATCCACACCAAGTTTCTTGTAGCTAATCATGTTGAATGGGGTTCTTGTGGTGCTCATTACTAGGGAAATTTTTCTTCTTGAGCTAGATATTGGGATTGAGTCCCCCCTACATAGAGTTGGATACATGAGTTGTGGTCTGTATGACTTTGACACCCTGTTCAATGATCTGGCTTTCATTAGCATGTGCATTTCTTTGAGTTGTTTTCCAAACCATTTGACATCAGGAACTACTCATATTTTTCCATTTAGTTGCTTAATGAGTTCAAAGACATGTTAAAATATATTTGATAAGTGATTTTTTTGTTGTGCTACATTCATCCATCTACAATAACACAGGTTAGCATCACTAATATTCTCATCCATTGAAGGCCTGAATAATTCATTGCTTGGCTCCTGCAGAGAAGTGACACTTTCGACATACAAATCTCTGATGCATTTTCACGTGTAGATATTAGCACTCCACAAACGAAAGCCAAGTTCTAATGTTTTTAACTTCATCTTGAGTAATTCTAAATAATTATTACCTTTGTTGCAAAATACAAGACTTTTGCTCAAAGTTTAGTGTTAAACATGTCCTTTATTTCTGATAAGAAATTGCTACATCTCACCATATTAGATTGTGCATATGAATTAATTTTGAATGTAGAGAACTAAAAAGTGTGCTTCTTTCAACGATTTGGAATATGGGAAAACAAAATTGCACTAAGATAGTAAGATGCAACTAACTTGATTGTGTTTGCACTGAAATACAATTGTGGTAGTCTTCAACTTCTTTTTTTTCTTTTACAGACTACTACCATTTGTAGCCTTTGTATTCGAGTGAAAATGCAGCCAAGTAAGCTGCCTTTTAATGCAACTATGTTTTTCTCTTGGATTTTTACCAGACTTTAATAAATAGTATCTTTACTCCAAGAGGAATATTTCTATGAGAATGAAGGTTTTTTTAAGATAAATGGTATGTACTGATTGAAAGGTTTTCCCTCAAAATCAAGTTTTAGTTAGGTCTAAAAAATTCATTTGTGAATTTAAACAGAACCTGAAATTGGTTTTTTGATTTTGGAACAGAAGTAGTCTATTTACAGTAAAGTGCAATTTACTCCATCTCTTTCTCATACTCCTAAATTTGTCTTCTCTTCATCCACGGTAGCTGTTTCTATAGGGGGTATCGTAATTTCTGTTTGTCTACTATGATCTTTTGTGATCTTGTGTATTTTCTTTGGGTGGAGTTTCTTTATGGCAGGCTTACTTGTGATATTCAACATATTCTTGGATGCATTAGATCATTGCCTTCTGCCAACTTGAGTGATTCCCAGGCCCCGATTCCGGCACAACATGAGTTGTTATTTAAAAATGAACTTGGTTCAATGTATGAACTTGATTCTCTTGCTGGTCTATGGAGGCACAACTTTAGGTATAGACGTATAAATATTCTATTGCTGGTTTTAAGTTTACTTTGACTCTTGTGTTTTGCAATATTTTGTGTTTTTAGTTTTATTTAGTTTAAGCATAAGTTTTAGATTATTGTTCTTGTGAGAAGTTGCATTGATTTTCAATTATTGGTTTAGAATAAACTTTACACTTCCTTGTCTAATTTGTAGTTTAGTGAAATTTGATTGTTATTTTCTAAACTATGACAAAATTTAGAAATACCTAAATTTGCCTAAATGTTGCTAAATCATTGTTAGCAACTTCTAAATATCAACGTTGTTGTATATTGTTGATATGCATTTGATTCCTTGCAAGTATGCAACAACTTTTGGATAAAAATGGTAAGGGTCGAGGACCTTACCCGATAAGAATTATTGCAAGGATTGAGAAAGATTGATGATTCGAAAAGCAACGTATTTTTATTATTGGTTGATAGTAGATTGAAGATCCTTGTTTTTTCTTATACCAATATCGAAGTTTGGTTGCACTTGTTTTGTATTTAATGTAAGACATTAGCTTGATTGAATTGGCATTGTATTTTAAACGTACAACTGATTTTGTCATATAATATTGGATTTTGTTTAGTGTAACGTTTGTTGTTTGCTTAGGATACAACATATATAGTATGAAATAGAATTGATGGTTCAAGCTTTTGGCTTAAACAATAAGATGAATCACGCCGTATCATATTGATACATAACTAGAGATTTGGTTACTGATAGTCTTGTGGTTTCTTTGGGTTATCATTATATAGATATTCGAGTTACTACCATAATTCGATAGTGGGCTTAATTTTCTTGGATATTTTTAGAAAGTTGGAATTATAAAGTGTTTAATAATTCTTGGTTTTTTTTTTATGGATTTGGTTTGTGGTGGTAGATCCTTCAAAGAATTAGTTATTATGTTGATAGATTTGAGACGTTTTATGATATGACATGGATTTTCGGAAATGCTATTGGCCATTTTATAAGGCTTGTTTTGGTTATCTTCCCTAAACATTTCCTTGAAGATGTTCTATTTTTCAAAAAAATTATAAATATGAGAAATAAGAGTTATTGGTATGCTATATTATATAATAAGCGGAGGTGCAATCTTGATCATTCTTAAGATAAGTCACGTCCTGCTTTCTATTGAGATCGATAGATAGTTCCATAATACGACATTTCATGCAAACCAGATTAGAATCAATCAATTGTCAAATTTCAACATCAAATAGATTATTGGATTGTTTCAGTTCCTCTAAAATCAATTGAATATGAAACAATCAATAGTGTAGGGTCTGACAATTTCAAATACAAATCTTTATCCGTAATCGATATGCCTGCTTACATCTTTTCAGAATTTCATATCCCGCTGCAATACACGGGTATACAACTAGTATATATATGTATATATAACTATTTAATTATCTTATGAATTTAAGTAGCACTTAAAATAATGGAAATTGATTTTTTAATTAAAACATCATGTCACAAAGATGCAAACCAAAACCAGATATTGACTAAATAACAACCGAATAGATTAAAATAACAATGGGTTGTTATTTAGTCGCCTGCTATTATTAAGAGCTTGATGTTTTTATAATACATATATAAAATCATTGGATGGCATACAAAATTTTAATTAACTACATGACAAATATGAAACAAGTAACAATTTGTTTATTAAATAAGTAAACCTATATATGTTTATTTTATAAATAAAAAATAGAAACTCGCAAATCAATAATACAAATAAAACCAATACTATAAACGAGACAATTTATTAAATAATGCTTTAAATAAAAAAATTTAAAAATGATAAATAAGGACATAAAAGTTATTTATTTGTATAAGAGTTATTTAAGATATCTCTTTTTACGGAAAGACATGCTCAACATTATTTGATTGAATAGTTGACCTAATCCCTTGTTGAATAATCGACCCTTTATCAAGCAAAGTCTTTGCAAAGTGTTCCCCCTATTCGTTGCAGGTTGATTATTCATCCGCACTGGTTTAGTTTACAATTTGTTTGGAAGCCCCTAGCCAAACAAGTATTTCAAAGAGAAATGACAATGAATTCCACATTTTAATATATTTTTGTGATAACCGATTATTCGGTTATAAAACTCGGGGTTGATTTTGGTAAGTGGTGATAAGTTGAGAGGGATAAATTGTTGATATGCTTAATTACTTTTAAAATCGCACTGCCTCTTATATCTAAATTGTAGTTATGAGATAATTTTTACCTCATTGCGATGATGCATATAATATAGGAGAATTAAAAAAAAACTTATCTTGTGCGGTCTTTGGTGCGATCAAGCAGAAACCATAAGGAAAAAAGAAAGAAGTTAATTTTGTGATATTATCCGGATAAATTGTTGATGTTCATCTCTTTGTGATTAAGGTGAGTTTATTTTTACAAATTTTCTCTTATTTGGCAATTGGAATTAGAATTGTATGGTTCTTTATATGAGAATGGTATAATACTGTATTTGGATGCTTTAATAAGCACAATTGTGGGATTTGAATCTGTTATATCATTGTTTGGAATAAGAGTGACATATTAAGGAGAAGTTATTCGGTTATAAGAGTGACATATCAAGGAGATGTGTATTCGGTTATAAGGGTGACATATGAAGGAGAGGTGTATACCAGGATAAGGATGACATAATCATTGATATATAAAAATCTGGGTTTTTATCAAGTACCCCAAGTCATCATATCACACAGATGCGATGACTTAAAGTTATTGCATCCTAATGATATGAATAGTAGTTATCACATCTATGTGATGCGAGGAGTATGTTTGTCGTACCAGTGTGATGCGATAAATTTGTTTAACGTATCCTATTGATGCAACAAGATTGATTTATCGCACTCATGTGATGCGATGAAATGATGTCCTCCCACCAGTGTGTTGCGAGGAAATGGGTTCACCCATATGATACGAGAAATTTATGTATTCATCTATATGATATGATGAGTTTTAACATAATGTGTTAAATGAATTATTGGGGCTATTTGATGCGATAAATTGTTTTATGTCTCATCATTTTTTTGCGACAAAAGAGAATGATTATATTAAAAAGTTGAATATTTGTAATTAATACAAATATGAGTTTATAAATGTGTTTTGGTGATTATTCACCCTGTAACAGCATCAAAGGGATTTGTCACTATACATCAAAGTCTAACCCTCATTTTTGGT